ACAACCAATATGAAAATGAGTTTTTTACAAGAATATTACTAAAATAAAACTTATTTACATAAATATGACTATTCATTACTACGACGTAGTGTTGTGGTAATTTAAGTTCAAAACTTGAACATGAATTACTATGATTTCATTACTACTCTAGTAACTAGTCATATTTTTGTAAACCATCTTTATTTTGGTCATATTTATGTAATTATTTCTATGAAAATCTAAGCTGAATGAAAATAGGTGCTTGCATGTTTCCAGCTTCTATATTAATGGTGAAATGTAAGTTTTGAATATGATGGCAGCTATACTGATTCATTTCTTTCAGCACCATCCTTTCATTCAATTGGTTCATTAATTATCTTATAATACCCTAATGTAATTGTTTTTTTTTTGTATTTACAGATTGCCAAAGAACATGGGGGAATCTTGAGATTTATACAGGTTTCATGCTTGGGTGCATCTCCAAAATCCCCATCCAAAATGCTTAGAGCTAAAGCTGCAGCTGAGGAAGCCATTTTACGTGAAATTCCTGAGGTAAGCATTTTATTTGTTGTAGGTTCCTTTGAGGTGATTAACCATTTTGCTCGTTTGCTTCTCTTATTTTGCACACCTCTACTTTCATCTCATTTTCTATTTACGAGTTTATTTTACGAGATGCATGTTCTCTTAAAGTATCTACATAGGCACTATTACATATTTACACTTTGTTTGGATGAATAGAGAAAACAGCAACAAAGAAGTTGAAGGGTAGAGAGAATGAATACATCTTTAGGGCTGAATTGAAAGTAGCAGAGGCAAGTAGAAGTGGCGAGAAAAAATAAAGTTTTTTTAAAGACAAGTTCGCCCTCAACATATAGACAATTGTTGCATGAATGAGGTTAAATTTGTATCTTCAATTCGACACTTCTCAATTTTTCCAGCCACTTGTAGAGAGATTTTATTTTGTGTCTCACAGTTAGTTTCTTTCAGGCCTAGTTTTTGCCTCGACCAAACCATGTTATTTTATTTTATTTCTCTCCCACTTTTCTCTCTTTGAAAACCTATTTAACCAAGCAAACAATATTGTTGTACTTATGTATCTTTTAATTACCATATTCTGGATGATCTATAAATCCTCCGTATTGTATTAACTATAGCAAAGTACAATTTGCATGTTGTTGATCTTTATGTCTCCAGGCAACTATATTGAAGCCTGCAGTGATGATTGGTACTGAAGATAGAATTCTTAATCCTTGGGCACACTTTGCAAAGAAGTTTAGCTTTCTCCCATTATTTGGAGATGGATCTACAAAGTATGTTGGCACACATCTCTCTCATCACCATTGCCAAACTTTCTTAGAGCTTCGGTGTCATATTATTTTGGCATGTTCTTGCAGAATACAACCTGTATATGTTGCTGATGTTGCATCTGCAGTTGTTGCATCACTGAAAGATGATGGTACCAGCATGGGTAAAGTTTATGAACTTGGTGGTCCTGACATTTACACAGTACACAAATTGGTGAAGCTTCAACTTCTACCCCTCTTTTCTTAATTCATTTTTTCTTTCCTTCTTGAATGCAAATTGATCTCATAGGTGAGATTTTGTTGCAGGCAGAGCTTATGTATGACATGATTCGTGAATGGCCTCACTATGTTAAAGTTCCTTTCCCCATTGCTAAGGTGAGCATGAACCCTATGCTAAGGTTTCAAATGGTTGAAGGGGCTAAATCTACTCATGTTGTGTCAGAATCCACTAATTGTTTAAATAAAATATATTTCTTCAATAAAGAAAATCTAAAAATAATTGCAAAGTATTAATTTACATAAATCTACAATTTTAGCCAAAAAGTAACTTGTGTAGTACTTCCGTGCATTAATAACAGTGGGATAAGACTAGTAAACCAGAAAAGGGTTCACCAGACAGGCTCCATATTAGAAAATGTATTTTCATATATAGGTTCTAGAGCCACCCATTTTTCTCCGTTTTATGTGTTCCTTTGCTGTTGTTTTCAGGCAATTGCCACTCCTCGAGAATTACTACTGAAGAAAGTTCCCTTTCCATTGCCGACCCCTTCAATATTTAACCTGGATATGATTGAAGCCTTGACCACTGATACAGTTGTGTCAGAAGATGGTTTGTGCCCTTTGTACTCATTAACTTATCAATATCTATGTAATTAATTAACTATATCCCCCATCATTTTGCACATAGATCATGGAAGAGTAGCTATAATTGGAATGATTAATTTTGTAAGCAATTCCCAATTCTACCCTTAGTAATGTCAACAATGTGTATTAAGAGTAGTATTTGTTTCAATGAGTAGGGGTAAACCTTGAAGTGAAAATTAAATGCACACCCAATAATTTAAACAGCTGCTGCCATCATAAGGAATTCCTATTCCACCATTGTTTTGCAGCATTAAAATTTGAGGATCTTGGACTTGTACCACAAAAGGTGAAGGGTTATCCAGTGGAGTTTCTTATTCAGTATCGTAAAGGGGGACCTCATTATGGCTCGACAGTTAGTGAAAAAGTGTCTGCAGATTCTTATCCGTGAGTTCGATTTGGAACAGTTTCTATTGTTGGAACAGGTAATTATGTAACATCAAGTGATACACGGCTCGTATGTGTTATGCAAGAACTTTGTAATTATTTAGATTTTTATGCTGAGCCAAGCGAGTAATAAATTGATCAATGAATCAGCAAACCTGATTAACAAACAGTTCTGCTCACTCTCTACTCAGCCTGGGTGGGTGGTTATTTACCAAGACTTTAGGACTTGTGGGCAAAGACCCATGCCATCTTCCCTCTTTATATCCTTTGCATTCATTTCCTTATTGACAAAGGTGTAGCACTTCTCTTACATGTTTATATACTACTGCCAATTGTTCTTTGAGTTGAGCACCGATATGTTGTGTGTTGATTGAGTGCTTACTAAAGTAATAGCGGTGGCAAGAATGTGTAAAACTCTCAACTGTTAGGAATAACAGTAAATGGACTACATTTTATGCTTGACATTTTCGTAGCGCAGTTCAGCCCCTTTGGGTTAGATTGCTGTAAATCCAGGTATTGCACTATTGCAGTAGTTGCTATCATTTAGTTTGGATGGAGCGTTGAAATTGAAATAAATTAGCTCAATTGAAAAGCTTACATGTTTTTAGCTTTTCCTTCAACCCATTTATTGTATGTCTCTGTACCACAGTACTTTTTAAGCAACTCAAAATCTCTAATACTCAATAATAAAAAAAAACTCCATACTAGGGATGGACCCGGGCCGGTTCGGGCCTGGGCCCGACCGGGCTTTTTCTTTGGGAAGGGAGAACGTGAACCGGCCCGGGTAGGCAGCGGTTCCCGGCCTTGCCGGGCCGGTTCCGGTTTAATGTTAATTTTTTTATTTTCTTTTGATTTTCTAAATTACCCCCGACCCCCCCCTTCACCCCCCACCCCCCAAAACACCCAGCCCAACCTGGTAGAAACAAAAAAAAATTGGGAAAAAAAATTGGCCCGAACCGGGCCGGTTCGCATTTTAGGGGGCCTGAGCCCGCCCCGGGATTTGAGCGGTTCCGGTTGGCCCAAACTGGCCCCAAGACTGGGTACCGGGCCGGTCCGGTTCCGGGCCGGGCGACCCGACCCGAGTCCACCACTACTCCACATGCCATCAAATCTCTATCATGACTTTTTTCATCAATAACTTCAAGCATGTTTATTGACTTTATTCCCCCAGTTACCGTTCAACTTGGCTATGGCCCAAATTCCAGTTTTTTTTGATATCAAGATTCAATCCGAAACCCAGTTTTCGATGATACCAATTATGTTATGATAACAATGATTAATACGTAGTATATGAATAAAATAAAATGGACAGTGCGACTTTTTATGCAGCACAATTGACCATAATAGTTGTTTTTAATGATCATTTTCAATTTTAAATAACAATTACAATGACAGCATACCCATAATATCTTTAGACTTTAGTAACTCATTATTGCACATAAGTTTTCTTAACAGATAGTTATATTTCAGAAAACTTTTAATGTTTATAGTACTTTAGGTCTCTATCTTCATGAATTATTTAAAATGATTTACCACTATAATCAAGTATAAAAAAGGAAAAGAGGAACATGGGTATGTTGTCAAAGTCATCACTACTTTACTTGTGAAAGGAGAAAGGAACCTTAATTGGTTCTATACCTAATGGATTTGAAGCTGCAGGTGAATGAAATATAATTTAACTCAATTTAGTATATGGTTATATGCAAGACATTTTATCACATCAATCCATCAAACTGATCTGAATCATGTCATCAACGCCTGAATTTGGGCATTGCGATGATCCCGATGAGATGGAAGGTATTCACAGAGCATCGCCATTCGAAGATGTCAAGATGGAAGGGATCCACAGCAGAGCACCACCATTTGAATCTGTCAAGATGGAAGGGACCAACATAGGAGCGTCGATGGTCACAAGTGAGTCACAATACAGCGGTTGCATAAACATATATATCAACAACAACATTCAAGGAGTGAATCACTCCATCTTATTAGGCAGCCATGTGGATCTGCGAGATCCGGGCATTCGCTTTTCCGTTAATGGTTTGACATTCCAATTTGAACCTCAAGGACACAAGACAAGAGGCAGTTTCATGTGGCTAGCATCTTTGCTACTGCTTTCTTTGTCAGTAATCGCCTCTTTCGTCTTTTCTTGGTTCAAAGATTCAAATTCTCATTAGGAGATGTTTGCTATACATTTTTTTCAGCTTCACTAATTCACTACGTTTGCTTATTGTGTTTATAATGACAAATAATGCATGAAATACTTTTTGAGATGGAATGGCTTAAAATCAGAGAAAATGATATTTTTTTATCTAATTATAGAAGCTGCTTTCATAATTTTATTAAGGAATTATTTAAAACAATATACACATAAGTAAGAATTATAAAAAAAAAATGAGTATAATAATTTATAAGAAAACTTAAAAACAATCACACCATTTGGAATAATTGAAATAATACATAATTTCACAAGAATGATCTCTGCGCTCCATTTGAAAAAGGAAGATAAAAATGTACATGCATACTCATTAGTAACAAGCGGAGTGGGAAAAATAAAACTGTAAATTGGATTACAAAGTGAATATAAATGGGAACCGAAACTAAAAGTTGCCTCATTTCTTGATGAATGATAAGCCATTGGCATTAGCATACCGCTCCATAAATCTCATAAACCTGTCCCATTCTCTCGGATTCCTCATAATGTACTTAGCTTCAATCCCCGCAGGTTTACCGTTCACAAACCTGGCATTTACATCCACTGAACGAAGAACCCCTTCTTCGTCAATCATATAAAACCCAGTAATATCGCCAACCTCTTTAGAGGAGTCAAATACGGAGGGTTGGTCAAACCTGAATGTGGCCACACCATTCGTTCCATCCTTGGATTTGGTTAGCTTTACATCGGGTACCGTCTGTTCATCTGTTCCTTGTATGAACTGGATTGATGGTTTTACCATCATTATTATACTTTGTCTAGGAGTTGTTTGGCTACATCTGCGGGATGAAAACTGCAAACGGGGGAGGTTTCGACCAGTGAAGAATGAAGGTGCATTTTGATGAACAATACCAGATGCTATACCTGCACATCACATAACAATAGCAACCAATTTGATTTCAATCACTAAAAAGATTTAGTTGAGTGCCAAGACTTGACCAGACAAGATTAGGCCTAAACAGATTAGACTACACTAAACCAAAATTGCATATTAATAATACATGTATAAATCAAACCACAACAGACAATATTAGTTTAAAATGTCCAAACCAAACCAGACACACCAGGTCATACCTCATCAAATAATTCTGGTACAAATGAATTGGCCAAAATGTTGGAAAACCTTTACCTATTAAACTCTTTAAGGTTTGAGTTAGGCTCTAACCATGTTCTTAATACATTTCCAACATGAATTGGTCCTCTATCTTTAATAACGTTCATTCAGACTTATTTTTTTAGAGAGGTTTCTATTATTTTAGTGTTGCATATCGATTGATGCCCAAAAGTTTAGAAGATCCTAAAGTTCTTGAGCAATCCAAAAGTAACCCAACAGAATCCATATGTAGAAAAAACTCATTAATGAAGTTCCTAAACGATTTTTTTAAGCACTTGATTTTGAATTAAGTTGTGGTAAGATAAGATTCTTAATTCCAAACCGGGTTTTAGAGTGTAGAAGAGCACCATCCTGTGTGAGAATTTCCGTGCATCATATCATATAGCCAGTTTAGCTATGGTAAATATAACTAAAGAGAAAGGTTAAAGAAACATTATCTGTGCACATTTTTTGTGTACTACAGGTGTGTATCACTCCACAGAGAATGGAATGAAGAAGAATAGGATAAATTACCAGGAACAGAGCGAGGCTGATGGCAACGCGAACATGGATGGGAGAGAGCGAGGGAGTGTAGTGATGCCATTGTAGAAAGAGGGAGAGAGAGAGAGAAGCTGAGGAAAAAGATTAAGGGAAAGAGATGATGATGGGGTTGGGTGTCATTCGGACAGCCATCCATTCCCTCGCAGATCAGATTTAGCTGCTTTTGAAAGGATTGAATTGGTTGGTGCTGGTTCTTTGACCCGCCCGGATATGTGCACCATTTGGGATCCACTTTCTTAACTTGAGATTTTATGGTAAGGGGCAGTAGATCTACTTCATCAAAATGCGTCAGTTTCTTCCGGGAGCAAAAATATATTGGAGTTTTTGGTCAAAAATAGAAATACTTTGAGTGTTTCAAATTATTCAGGGAATCAGTCTTTTTATAAGTTAGAAGATATCAACTTCTGATAAATTAATTCTAATTTTACTTCTGGTTTTTAACAATATACAATGAATCAAGTCCAAACACTTTGTAAAAACAACATAAAACCTCAAAATAACAACATTTCCTCTGTCCAGAAACTGTTTTGGACAATTCATTCGGTCCATTCGGCCAGTAGGGGAGATTTGTACCCCTCCTCTATTCCCTATAAATATGAGGTTTTTCATTCATGTTCGGGGATCCTCTTCTTCTTCTTCTCCTTTTCCATTATGCATCCTCTCTAGAAAATCTTGAGAGCTCCATTAATGGCTTCCAAGACTTAGGCTGTGTTTGGTAATCGGCGTTTCCACCAGAAATTGGAGTGTTTGACCACTTTGGCGGTTTCAAAGATCGAAAACGTTGTTTGTTGTGTGTTTGGTAAATGGAGGTTTGGCATGGCGTTTGGGATGTATCCGCCAAATACCAATACGCTGCAACTAGTAGCGTTTATACTTGGCGGTTTCAGATAATTATTTAATTGTCAAATTTGTCCTCTGATCTTCTTTTCCGTTTAATTTCCGCTATAGGTGTTTAAGGCCTTCCCTCTTACTTCTTCTCTGGGTCGCCGGAAGTCCAGAGCTTTTTGAGTGTTCTAAAAATCATGCTATGGTTCTGGACTTGCATCTGATTGAGTTTTACACAACGAATCGGTTTAATTGCTTTGCGTGAGAAATTACATGCTATTAAAGTCCGTTAAGAATAAAAATAAGGCCTAAAGGATAAGAATTCACTGGAAATTAATACTACTCCGTAGTTTTCTTTTGGACCCAAAATGTGCTATTCATCAATTAGATATATATTTTTGTATTATTGTGTTTTTTATTTAGTCATATTTTAATCAATAATATAATAATAGTTCGAACTTATCAATTATGCATCATTATTAAAAAACGGGTATTAAAATTTATTAATGCATGTCTTCATATGTCTTTTTACCTAGTAACCTGTAACACCGTCCCCAAATATATTTACTTTTATGCAAATAATGTATTGAACCTTATTAAAGGATTAATGAATTTACGAAGTTGTAAATTTTTATTATTTCTTTCGCGTGAATAGTAAATTGCACGTGGGACCCACATCGGGAGCGGGGACCACCCAACCTTCCCGAGACCACATATTTTATTCATCTTGGTCAAGATAATATTTATATGGTGGTGGATATTTCATTTGGGTCGTGGAAAGGCCCAGAGTTGACCGATTGGGCAAAATAGGCCCAAATAACGGTACCGACAATTTATCAGAAACAGCCCGAAAATGAATTTCGGAGACTTCTAAATTTAAGTTTTAGAATATATATTATTTCAAAAGGACATTATGGTTGAGAACACATAATATATTTTATTTTACCCGATAAAATAAAATATATTTAAAACAGTCCGAAAAATACAACTTTCGGGATCGATTGTACACACCGGGACACAAAGGGATGACCTCCCACATGAGTGGGGGCCACCCCACGTTTTTGTGTGCTCTAATTAACCAAAGGGGGCTGGATAGACAAGGGAGGGAGCTGAAGAGATGGGATTGGCATCTAAGGTAAATAGACGACCCCCCTCCCATCACATTATTTGCTAATCAAGACAAAAAGGTGAACCCCCCTCTTTCCCCATCATAGTGGTTCGGCCAGCACCAAGGAGAGGAGGAGAATAAGCTCTGAAACTTCATCTTCCATAGCCAAGATTCGAACTCAAGCAAGAAGGGTCCAATGAGTGGGATTAAAGAAGGAAAAAGGCTAGGAAAAGTGTGTAAAATTAAGGTAATGACCTTATTATAACTTTTCCTTTATTTTTCTTCTATCATATGAGGTATATATCACAAGAAGGACCCTTAGTATGATTCCACATGTTTTAAGTATGGATTTATGGGTTGGAAGATGGTTCTACGTCCAAGAACGGACGTAGAAGCCAAAACGACCGGGTTCACCGGGAAATAATCGTTTAAAGGTTATTTGTATTAATATGGGTTTTATGATTATAAAACCTTGTTAGGAACTTGAGTAAGGTATTTCAAGGACTTTCTCAAAGTTGAAAAAGTCGCCGGAGTTGTCGCCGGAGTTGACCAAAAGTCGCCGGAGTTTCACCGGAGTTCAACCAAGAAGGGTAGAACTTCATAACGCTAGTTCAAGGTGAGTGGACGGTTTAATATCTTATAACTTTTGGGTTAATTATGAGATTACCCAAATAAATGTTATATGTGTTCATAATAATGTTTAAAAGATATTTAAACATGTGATTAGCCAACATGATTAAGTTGTATGAAAAGAATTAATTGTTTATGCAAGAAATATGATATGAGGAATTATATAAAATGCATATTAGCTTGAAGTGTAAAAGAAGCACAAATGAGTATTATTAACTTAATTATATGATGATTAAGTTGATATGTACAAGGCTTGAATTGGTGGTCAACGACAACGTTGACCGATGGATAATGGATTAATTAATATCGGTTGATATTAGTTAATTATACATTTATATAATTGCATGGCTTTGCATGGATTGTGATACATAATCTTTATGTATTGAATTAGTTATGAGTAACTAAGTATGATATAGACTCTATCTAGGTTGATAGGAGGTTGATCATAGGAAAATATTTTGGTGGAGGACCCTACTACTTAAAAGTACTTAACACTCAAAATTTGGTGGAGGACCCTAGTACTTAAAAGTACTTAACACTCAAAATTTGGTGGAGGACCCTAGTAATTAAAAGTACTTAACACTCAAAATTTGGTGGAGGACTCTAGTACTTAACACTCAAAACTTGGTGGAGGACCCTGGGGCTTAAAGTCCTTAACACTCGGAATGTAAATTGGTGGAGGACCCTGGGGCTTAAAGTCCTTAACACTCGGATTATAAATTGGTGGAGGACCCTGGGGCTTAAAGTCCTTAACACTCGGAATGTAAATTGGTGGAGGACCCTGGGGCTTAAAGTCCTTAACACTCGGATAATAATTTGGTGGAGGACCCTAGTACTTAAAAATACTTAACACTCAAAATTTGGTGGAGGACCCTAGTACTTAAAAGTACTTAACACTTATAGATTATGATATTGAAATAGGGACAAGGAGGAGTCCTATACACTAATAGGTATATGGGTGGGTTGGGGTTTTTAGTCAAGGATATTGACTATTACTATTTTCCCAAATAAAACGGTGATCTACGGATCGAGTATTTTCCAAGTATATATATATACTAATGAGTATTTCATAACTTGGGGGAAAGGACTATTTATATAAGTATCACCCTATGTTTGGGTCTTATACTTGAAACGCTAGTTATTCTATATTTAGCCTGCTACTCGCTCGGTACTTGTACTGACCCCTTCGGGGGGGCCCACCATTTTCAGGTTGAAGCTAGGGCTCGCTACCTGCACCTTCTTATGGATGATATCAACTTCAGGGAGACGTGGTTCGTGCTTCCTTATTTTCTTTCAAACTACCGAACACATGCTCATGTATATTTGTTCTACTATAAACTATTTTTGGGGCTTGCATGCCCATGTTGTTGGCCGGTTGTGGCTTATGACTTACCGTTGAATATTTCCGCTATTCATTGGTTTAAATGTGATGTTGTTATGTATGTTTACTACTGAGTATGGATGGATCATATTCTCGAACGCCTTGTGTAATTAAGTGAGGTTGACTCGCGGGTGACGTCACTTGATTATACGGCGGTTGTACACGCGCTTGGATTGCGGTCTGGGGCGTGACATAACCGCTAGGTCCAAATAGCTGATATGCCAAACGTTATTTTGGATTCCGCCAAATGAATCCGCTAGTCAAATCCGCTAACAGAATCCGCTGTTAGCAACCCGCTAACATAATCCGCTAGCCGCTGATCGATGACCGCCAATTGCCAAACACACCCTTAAACACTTGTATTATGTAAAAATGTTATGAAAACATTAATAAAAAGAGTGGTTTGGAAGTTAGTCCGAAGAGTCTCGTGATTTTCCCCTTTCGAGATTCCACATAAAAATCAAGCATTCATACATTTATTTACATTGATACAAATTCGTGTTGGATTAGTTTCAACAACACACAAATATTACAATCAGATATTACCTGACAGGACTGTCGTTCGGCCACCTCAATTTGAGGTGGTTTCCGTGATATTTTTTTATGAAATTTTATGAGAATGTTCTTGATCAAATGTAGATTATCTTCTCAAAGTTTCAGCTTAGAATTAAATCAAGAAGTCAGTTGTATAAATTATATTCCTTCCATATCATAATAAGTGTCTCACGTTTCTTTTTGGATTGTATCAAAATAAATGTCTCGCTTCCATTTTTGAAAATAATTCATGAGAAAATTATGATTACCCCTTCTAATTTGTTCATAAATATGAGTCCAACCCTGTAATCATGTATTTATAAAACTAGTACAGTACCCGTGCATACGCACGGGAAGAGCAGTGTTGGTGTATATATTTTTATTCATAGTCGTATTAAATATGATAATAAAATTAGTGTTTAGAATTTTACACTTTCGGAAAATCGGAGAACAATAATATAGTACCATAAAATATTAGTCTAAAGAATAAATATTAAAAGTAAGACTATATTAGCAAAATTAATTGACACTATTCCATAGAATTTGCTACTTATTAATCGACACTATTCCTTAGAATTTGCTATTTATTAATTCAAATTTGCGACTTATTAGTATTTTATTAACATAAAATAAAATACTAACTCCGAG